CTGGGTTTAGCCCCAGTGACGCGGTTGAGAGAGAAGTGCAGGGATCTCCTGGAGCCATGCTTTTCCCTCCACACTTGGAGGGACAAGTCTGGTTTGGAGTTCTCCCACCAGATTGTAAATATTGTATATAGGTATGTATGTGTTCTTTTTATTAATTTATTTTTACGTTATTTTATTCTTATTTATTGTATATATATATATTATTTTTCTGTATAATTTATTTTATTTACTGTACATAGAGTGTGAATGTGATCTGTGAACACAGATGCCCTTTGAGACAGATTGTAATATTTTTCAATAAATTAGCTTAAAAAAAAATTAGTTTTATCATTGATTTAAATTCAATTTTTTATAAATAAAAAAAAATAAATTATTATTAAAATTAATTGTCTGTTTTAAAAAAATATTTCTTCCCATCAGGTTGTGCAGGGACAAATTACTGATTCGGTTGTAATGCGCGTTTCACTCCATTTTATTCTTGTTTTCACCAGAGTTCTGATTTGTTTTTTTTAGCCCAATTATTTCTGGAACTCTGAGGTCAAAAATTTTTTTTATTTATTTTTTTTATTATTTTTATAATCAAATCCTTCGGCAGACTTTCGAAATATTTTTAATAGACCTATCGTATCATGATGGACGCATTTTTCTTTTTATTTTATAAATGATTTTTTAATAATATTTCGTGGAAATTTTAAAATGTATTCGAGAGACATATGTTGTCGTTATAGTTTTTTAGGTTAAAAAAAAAAAAATCATCCGTGCCTACCACAGGTTCACGGCCATACAGAGTTAATAATTCATTCCTTATCAGTTAAACACACTGCAGCGAATGTAATAGATTAATAAATCAAATTTCCCGTTTGTCCCATCCCACATCCTATATTCTGGTCAACAATTTTGGCTGTAATCCTTAATTTCATACGAGTTTTATGAGGTGGGATTTTGAAAATTATTTCGTATCAACAAAACCGCACGGTAATGATTATTAATTTTAACATTATTAATTGCCATTAATGAATCTTGTATCATATGAAAAAAATAATAAAAAGTAATACGAGTAATAGACATTTGTTTCATCAGATTCGTTGTTTTTAAGTCACTAATTGGTCTAAGAATATAGACCTTATTAAATTATTATAAACAACTGAAGGATATTTAATAATTAAACGTATCGTAATATGAAGGCATCATTTTCGATTTTTTTTTCGGTAATTACAATCGACCAAGAAAAATAAAATAAAACTTCATTCATGTTTAAACCAAAATGTTTACGGATTACATTAAACGTATCGTAATATGAAGGCATCATTTTCGATTTTTTTTTCGGTAATTACAATCGACCAAGAAAAATAAAATAAAACTTCATTCATGTTTAAACCAAAATGTTTACGGATTACAATAACCTGTATCTCAGCTAATAATGGTCCGAATTCGATGATTTTTTCTACTTTTGTAGAAAATTTAGTAATATTCCAAATAACTCTAAGCAATCTTCCTATGATTTAGGAGTTCTCAATCATATTTAAAATTTGATTAATTTCAAATTTTGTAAATAATAAAAAAAATACATATATGTATTTTTATGTATGTAATATAATCAATTAAACTTTTGCGAGCCGGATAGTTTATATTGGCCATAATTTATACAGATAGATTAGAGATACTTGCATGTTGTGTTTTGAATAGACCATGTTGATAATATTGTATTATATATACGAATAGATGTATATAAGTATACGAATGTTTCGCTTATGTCTCCAATACAATAAGGGGAGGGATAGTTGCGGTATACAACTAATGACATAATACTAATGATCACTTCTTGTAGATTAAAGTTTTGATTTCAAATATAAAGTTTTAACGCTGCTTACAGTGGTTTAGATAAAACTATTAACTCGGTTTAACAATAAGAACTAAATTTACAAGTCGAGTGAAGATTAAGTAATTTAAAACGGGCTGTTAGGGGGCGAAGTAGTAGGACTAAGTCCTATACACGAAGCCGGAGGTACTTACTACCTAAGCAGGCTTGTCAAAAAGTTGTACCGGCCATCAAGACCAGCCTCAATCCGGAGTCTGACAAGCCCCGCAACTTAGTAATGCCTTCTCTCCGCCCGAGCATTCATCCCTATTTTTCTGTTCGTACCTGAACATTATAATTCTCTGAGTTAAAAAGAATTAGAATTTTGTTTGGAGAATTTAAACTTTTAGCAGCATTTTGATTTGTATGTTCACTTTCCACAAGCATTTACATCGATCGTATTAATCAACATCCTATACAAACTTGGAGAACGACGTTAAAAATTGGAGATTAATTATTTTTTTGTTTTTCCTGTTAGTCCGTGATACATAACCCTTTTTATCAAATGATTAACATCCGGCTGAAACTTCATAAATAGCTTCATCTCATCTACAAATATTTAATTTATGAAAATTCTCGGCATTGGGGGCGTTTTCAATCTGGAATCGGCAAACTTTCTCCATTTAATTAGATACCAACAACTTGTAAATACCCATTTCTTTTCAACTTGAATCGTAAGATAATTTGAGTACAAAGTCGGGAAAAAAGATGGTTTAAAAAATATTGAGACGTTTGCCCTATACAACCTCGTTATTTTGACAATTTAGGGGTGCAAGCAAGAGGTTATTTAGTCCAAACGGCTCAATATTTTATAAGCCAACTTTTTTCTCGACTTTGTTCTCATTAACAGATCTAGGATTTATTTTTGAGAAGAAGGGGCTTCAGCCCGAAAGATTTTTTTTTGTACTACATCTATATATAAGGATAACTACATCGGAAGAAAGAAATAAACTAATAAATAATAAACTACCTATACGATGGGCGGGGTGGCCGAATGGGCTAATGCGTGTGCACTGCACCGCCGTCGCCCAGCAACCTGATAAATGAATCAAAGATATAAAAATAGACACAAGTTCGCGTCCCGGTACCGAGGGAGTCTTTTAAATCCCCGCCCACACCCCCTGGCCCGGGAAAATCCCTTGTAGCCTTAACGGCGAGGAAGGGAAGGACAAAAAAAAAGAAAAAAAAAAAAAAAACCAGCTATACGAAATGGTGTAGTCCGTGTTACAGACCCCTTTTTGTCGTATTACTAACATCCACCTGAAACTTGGTAAATAGCTTCATCTCATCGTAATCTACAACTATTTCATTTACGAAAACTCTTGGAATTGGGGCGTTTTCAATCTGTAGGAGGCCAAACATTGCCTATCTAATTAGGTTCTAAAAACTCGTAAAAACCCATTTGCTTTCTACTTTGATTAAAAAAATAATTTGATCCCAAAATCGATAAATAAGGTGGCCTAAAAAAAATATTGGGCCGTTTGTCCTATATAACCACGTTATTTTAAAAATTTGAGGGTTTAGTTAAATTAGAGGCCAAAGGGCTCAATATTTTTGAAGGCCATCTTTTTTTTCGATTTTATGCTCAAGTTATCTTACAATCCAAGTAGAAAGAAAGTGTGTATTTACGAGTTTTTAGTATCTAATTAAATGGAGAAAGTTTGCCGACCCCCAGATTGAAAACGCCCCAATTCCGATAATTTTTGTAAATATAATATTTCTAGGTTGTGATGAGATGGAGCTATTTACGAAGTTTCAGCCGGATGTTAATAATTTAATAAAAAGGGTACCACGGACTATGTTGGAATTATGGTCCACGTAAATCATTTGCCGCCTTAAAAAGCCTGCTCCATCTCTACCTGTCTTCGGCTATTTCTTTCCAGTTATCTGCACGCAGCTCTATTGTATCTTTGTTTATTCTATCTCTTCATCTGCTTTTGGCCTTCCTCCTGGTCTTTTGCCTTCTATTGAGGTATTCATTGTTACGTAGAGGACTTCAGATGCACTTCTTCGTAAGCCTCCATGATTCTGCCTTGCATTATCGAAAACTTAAAGCCCGTTTTAGTCAGTCAGAGATGGAGCATGCTTGTTAAGGCGGCAAAAGATTTACGTGGACTGTAATGCCAAGATAGTCCGTGGTACAGACCTCTTTTTATTAAATTATTAACATTCGCCTGAAACTTCGTAAATAGTTTCATCTCATCGTAACCTACAAATATTTTATTTACAAAAATTTGCGAAATTGGGGCGTTTTCAATCTGGGGTCCGACAAACTTTATCCATTTTATTAGGTACTAAAAATTCGTAAATACACATTTGCTATCGACTTGAATCGTAAGATAACTTGAGCACAAAGTCGAGAAAGAAGGTGGCCTTCAAAAATATTGAGCCGTCAGGCCTCTAATTTACCTACACCGACAAATTTTCAAAATAATGAGGATATATAGGCCAAAGGCCCAATATTTTTGTAGGCCACCTTATTTATCGATTTTGGGATCAAATTATCTTTCAATCAAATTAGGTAGCAAATGGGTATTTACGAGTTTTTAGTACCTAATTAAATAGACAAAGTTTGGCCCCCTCCAGATTTAAAACGCCCCAATTCCAAGAGTTTTCGTAAATAAAATAGTTGTAGGTTACGATGAGATGAAACTACTTATGAAGTTTCAGGCGGATGTTGATAATACGATAAAAAGAGGTCAGCACCACGGACTACACCATTTCATATAGGTGGTTAGTTTCTTTCTTTTTTTCGAAGTAATTATCCTAATAAATAGGTATAAAAAACAAATCTTTCATGCCGAAGTCCCTCCCCCTTTAAAATTAAATCCTGGATCCGTTAGTGAGTATCGTATTCTTAATCTCCGCCCCGAAGTCTTTCATACACAGTTTATCCAGTCTTTGATCTTTTTAAGTTATCTGAACTTTGAAACTTTGAAACAATTTTTCAATGATTTTAATTAAAGTTGAAAGAATTTAATTATCGAATTGGTATTCTTCAATTCTCCATGGTATTCCCTTTCGTTTGAGACCTCATTCATTAAAATCCATCGGTCTTGAGATGCCGAAATGGGGTAACGAAGGAAATTGTTTGTTTTCAAGTACAAAACGTCCAAATTAATATAGAAAAATAATCATTTGTTTAAAATGACTCCTCATTAAGAATATTCAGATAAAGCGACGACCCGTAACGCCGACCTAGGCAGCTTCCTAAGACAATGGCTCGAGGAAGAAGCAGGTGGGAACCCCCGGCCTTGTCCCAGTACTGCCGCGCCACCTCTTCTCTAATGGCTGCTCTCGGAGGAAGCGGTGATTTGTTTATTCTGTCGTTTGTCTAGTAATCAAGATTTCCTAGGATGCGATGCCTCATGGTCGCAACCTCATTACGGTCTGAGGTTGAAGTCGAGGAAAAAAAAAAAAACGGGACGGTAATGAGGTATGGGCGAATCATCTTCCGACCATGGTATACAAACTTTAGGATTCGATCTAATCTCATCACGATCTTACCGGTAGGAAAAAAAGACAATATCCATGTAAATTAGGTTTTTGCGATATCATCGTTTGTTTATATGGATTTATATATATATATATATATATATATATATATATATATTATATATATATATATATATATATATATATATATATATATATATATATAGAGAGAGAGAGAGAGAGAGAGAGAATAGAAAATAAACTTTATTCTGGGACGATGTCCCCTTAGAATGACAATAATGAACAGTTACAAAAGAAAAACTACATATTTGGCAAAAACTAACTTAATAAAGATTCAAACAATATATACAGCAACTTAAATAATAGTATGTAAATTACTAAAAATTAAAATAAAATCTTCTCAACTATATTTATAATTTTACTGGAAAAAATGACAAAAGGAAAAAGAATTACGTATATAGAAGAAAAAACAAAACCTCTAGGAAAGAAAAAAAAAACGAAATTACGTAAATAAAAAAAAAATGACATGTTAAAACCCAAACAGCTAAAGCATACAAAATATATACATATATTAAAAATATATTAATGACAGAAGATGATCAACGGGATCACAATATTGCAATATTCCAGCATAAAAGATATAAAATAAGAATAAATAGATAAATACAATTAGGAAGGAGCATTAAATTAATTTTATGAGAAAACAATTGCGACAAAATAAAGTATTGTGAGTATAAAAAAAAAGTAAAAAGTATAAAAAAAAATTAATATATCAGCCAGGAAAAAAAAGTGTAGTGGACTATTCTACTCCTAAATGCAATATCTTTTAAGAGGAAGACATTATTAAGTATACTAAAACTAATGGACTGTATACTGGTATAATAATAATTGTGCTATTTTTACGATTTTTGTTTTATTTTGTAGGTAATTTATTAATTTTTCTAAGAATTATGGGTAAAATCAAGAATACTTTTTGAATTATTCGCGAATAAAGTTTCTTTTCCTTCATAACTTTTCTCCCAGAAATTTCGGGGGGATAAGAATATTTTTCGCATGTGAAGGAGAAGAATATCTTCAAAATGAGTGACCAATCATTGGATTTGATGAAGAATTAACGAAATTATGACGTACCGACAAAAAAACACCTTTTAGAAATAATATTCCGTATCCAACCCATATGATTAAAAAAAACATTGGCGTATATGTTTTAAATTGCTAATTAGACAATATCCATATTTATATACTGTAATTCTACAAATCATCAATTTAAGTAAACAAAATAATTTCTAATTCAAGTCTGATATATTTTATAAAATGCGTACCATAAAAAAATAAAATAAGAAAGCGGAGAGAAAAACAAAACATTTGATTGCAGACCGATGCATTGAAGGCCAAATTAAAAACGAAATTGCAAAACCGCCTGTCCATGTATAATTCATTCCTTAACGCATGGTCGAGAAATAGCGTTGTGTCTGTCCATTATTTTTAACCAAATAAATAAACAAACAAATAAATTTCTTGATATGTGTTAAACTAATTTCTTTTTAGATATAATTCTTGATCAAAGTTTATAAGTTGATTTAAATTTACAGAAACTTGATTAATTACATACAGGAAATGGAAACAATAAGATATATATATATATATATATATATATATATATATATATATATATATATATATTTTATTTTTAAGAATTAGAAATATTCCGTATCATTGTGACACAGAATTTTGATGAAAGATAAAATTAGAAATTGCTTGTTTTTATTATTATTGTTTTTGTTTTTTTTATTTACAAGATTCTATATACGAATAATGTAGAATTCGTTCAATTCATCCAAAGCCATTAAGTAACATACATAAATAATATATTCATAATTGGTAAATGGTTGACTGTCGTGGATAATCCACCCCTTTTCTTTTCTTAGCCCTGATGATGGACTGAACTTCAGGTCGAAACGTCGGTATATGTAAAAATAAATATTATCATTTATTTTTGCCTTCTTTTTTGACTGACCACCCCAACTATTCTTCTCTTCATAAATAATATATTTTCTTTAAGTTAGTTTTTTTTTCTTTTTGTAGCTACAATCTCATTGAATTAATTTAATGTCTCTTTCCGATTGTATTTATCTACTTATTGTTATTTTATTTCTCTTACGCGGCAATAGTGCAATGTTGTGATCCCATTGCTCATCTGCTTTCATTAATATATCTTTAAACTATGTATATATTTTTGTGTTTTAAATGTTTATGTGTTAACATAAAAAGTCAATATTTTTTCTTTTCTGGAGGTTTTGCTTTTCCTTTCTATATATATGTGTAGTGTTGTTGTTTATTTTTCCACTGCAACTATAAGCATTTTGAAATTTTTTTTTATTTTTTAATCGTTTACATATTATTTAATTTATTTAATCATTGCATATATTGTCAAAGTTAGTTTTTGAGCAGATATGTATTTTTTTCATTTTTCATTATTGTTATTCTAAGGAGTCTTTGATACAGAATAAAGTTTATTTTCTATTCTATTCAATTATATATAAAGAGAGTATACACGAATATACATGGCCGTCAGGACGCAATTGGACTTAAATTAAATAAATAATAATACTATAAATAATATCATAAATAATTAATATGACTTTTATTAAAGTTGTTGTAGGAATATAAGAATCAAAATTGTAATTTCGATTGGAAGTCACTTCTCAATGAAATTCACTTACGTTAGACACTTTATTCATCAAAATCCATCTCTCCTGAAGACTGGAAAAGGCATCGACAATACAGTTTAATAAATATCGTGTAGAAAATTAAAGAAGGTTTTAAAAAAAAAAGTTCGTAAAGGTATTAATATTTATTCGTAATACAACAATAGCTCAACTCACGATTTTGTTGAGGAATTTCACGGCCGATTAGGTCTGAAGAAAGTAGTTTGCGGTATAGGATTCGGTTGTGGTAAGAAAAAAGCAATCCCGTTTTGAACAGGTTTGGTTGGTTTAAAGACTTGGACCAAAGCGGGTTCCGCCGGAGGAACTTAGGAAAAACTTAGCTCATAACGAAACTTATCCATTATAATCTTCCTATAAAAGGTTAACAGTCACTTTAAACTGCAAAACTTGTTTGTTTCCTTTAACTCGAGTTTGGAAGAAAACTTTAAAATCAATCAAACTTTAGGCAACTTAAGTCAAATGCCGTTTTATATAATTCAGAAACATTAAACTCTTGGACCGGTAAGCCTGAGATGGGGGGGGGGGGGAGGAGAGGGAGTGAACTTTTGTATTTCTCTGTTTTTGCATACACAAGTACTTGAAAGATACGATGTGTAGACAGTCAACTTATAGTTCAATAATGTGAGGGGGAAAACCTTACCCCAACATTGAAAGAATAAACATGAAACTTGTCAAAAATTGTTTATTACTCTCCCCATAATAACTGATCAAAAGTCCCAAAGAATCCCGCGTCTGGTTTTGATGAGAGGAGAGAAGGAAGAACAGAAAAATAATATTTTTAAGAATATCTCGATAATTTTGAATTTTTTTACAAAAATTGTTCAGTATAATAAGTACTTTAAAATCTCTATAAAAATGATCCTAAACAGTTTTTTGATAAAATCAACGATTATGGAGATATTTATGAAATCATATTTACTTCATTTCCACTTTAAGCAAAACTAGTATATATAGGTATGCGTGTGTATTTGCTTTGTTTTAATTTTCTTATTTTTAAGTTATTATATTTTATTTATTTTATATACTTTTTTATTATTATTTATTGTTTTTTCGCATACATTTATTTTATTTTCTGTACATATTGTGTGAATGTTATCCAGCTCACTATGACTAATGTCCAAGTGGCAGATTGTTGTAATACTCAATAAATAAATAATAAAAAAATCAGTTAATTAATTTTTTAACATTTTCAGTCCTTCAACTTCTTATTCAATGTTTCTCTCTTTCAATGATTCTAAAAAGTCATCGACAACAGATTTATATTCGATATCTATCAATGGGGAATTTCGTGATGACGTTATTAAGTTTAGATTAACATTATCAACACTGTCATCACCACCTATGCCGATGACACGTGTATCCTATTATTTAATAACGATCCATCTATTGCATCTCAAACTCTTCAATCACACATCACAAGTCTTGAAAAGTGGTGTCAAAACTGGAGGATTAAAATCAATTCCAATAAATCCCATCAAATTACCTTCACTCTTCGTCGTAAAACTATGACTTCCTGTCCTACAGGATCCTTCAACAATAGCTCTCTTATCTCTGTCGAACAAATCCGATACTTAGGACTTCACCTTGACAAACGACTCACTTGGAACCCTCATACCAGACTGAAACGACTAGAAACCGCCCGAAGTTTTCGACTACTGCAGCACTTACTAGACGCTCTAAGCTTTCAATCAATTACAAACGACTCATATATATGACTATAATAAGACCTATTTGGACTTACGGAATTGAGCTTTGGGGCTCCACTAAACCATCGAATTCCTCTCGTATCCAATCCTTACAATCCAAAATCCTTCGTAAAATCCTCAACGCTCCTTACTTTGTCACAAATAAAATCATCCATAAAGACCTTAATGTTCCATATGTTTCCAATCTGGCCCAATCCAGATACCTTTCCTTCCATAACAAACTGCAGAACCATCCGAATCCTCTCGTTTCAAACCTTGCTTCCTCCTCGATCCCTGATAACCCTCCGAGGCTTCTGAAAAGAAGATGGCCTCGGGACCTTCTAATATAGAACTTTAATTTGAGTTCTACCAATGGGTAGTTTCTCTTCATGTTGTACATGTCATGTTACCAATGTCACATTTACTTGTTGTATTTTTCCTGTAATACAGTTGTAAATTTCATTAAAAAAAAAAAAAAAGATTAACATTATAACCCAAAATGGTAAAATATAACCATGTTTTATGGAAAAATTATCTCTAAAAGTATGACTTTTCGTCTAATTACATTTAATAGGAACTAA